TTGCTTATTTTTGTCAATAAAAATGAAAAAAGAGAGGGGGGGATATTCCATGTGCAGCTAATATCCTTTATGTTGGATGAGAGTCACTCAAAGTTAACCTTTGTGCTATTTAATGTCACTTATTTTGATTGTTAATTGCAGAGAGCATTTTAAAACGATGTTGTATTCACAGTTTCAATGTTATTAACTAATTGTTTTTACATTTAGCAACTTTAAGGCCGCTTACTAGTGTTTTACATGTCATCTGAACAAAGCCAATGATACAAAATGAGGAAAGAATAAGTGTACAATGAGAATAATAATATGTCTCCCTCTGTAACAGAAGCATTGTTACGTTGAGCCTGTATTATGTTGTCTTGGGATTTTCGCAGGAAAAAGCAGCAGTAAAGCAGCATCCTATTTTGTTTTACATTATATGATTACCGCAGAAAGAAAACCAGAGTATTTTCACAACTGGTTTTGGTGCAATTTATACAATTTCTGGGAACAATGGTTTTCCCTGTTTGTATGTATTTGTCATACAGAGATTGAGAAAATGTGTCCTGATATTTGAGTTGTAGGAAATATATTTGATGTACTGTATTTGGACGTATAAGCTATTTATCCTAATAATTGGTTACAAGCAAGCTACTGCTTCAAACACTATCAATTTACTTCAAAAGGTTAACATCCAAAAGAGGAGATGGTAAGCTATTTATGTTCTGTATAAGAACAGGTTGAGTGTAAAATCTAAATTTTCAATTTAATGGAAAAAGTTTGTTTGAGTATCCCATTAGTTCTGAGACAGCACACACCAAACAGCTGGTTCAGGCTGCTTCTTTAAAAACAAGAAACTATTCACCACATTCACATACAGCACCACCTGGTGGCTAGAGGGGGTTACAAGCTTCTATCAACAATCAATCTGCACAGCACTTTTAAGATGAAGTCAGTGCATAACAAATAACTTGATTTATCTCCCAACACAGTGACCTTTGGCCTTTTTTATAATTTGACACGTGAATGGCGTGTTTTGCCAGTTTTTAAGAGGTGGGACATGAGTAACCCCAAAAGATATTAAGGGCTTGGCTTGTTTCACTGTTCTATCTCGTGGTGGCGCTAATTACAATTATTTGATATATATATTTACATTGAGCTTGTTAAATGCAGTCAGCAGCTCCCAATTTAACGGTATAGGGTCCCTCCAAGATTAATCAGTGGGTTCGTTATGTTTTATACAACAACACAAAATGAAAAGTCCAATCTCCTTAGGATTGTATTTGACTAAATCAATTAGTTCTACCAACCAGGTGACAGCTCTCAATGTTTCATTATGAAACGGCTCGTTCAGTTTATTCCTAAAGCATGGCTGCAAAATGATGGGAGCGCTTACGTCACTGCTTTAATCTTGTTTTCCAAATGCTTTTACTTAAATCTGACAAGTCCTGCAAACAAGGAAAACTGTAGTTCATAAACAAGGCACATCGAGCATTAAAAGCTGTTCAAATAAAAAAAGGAATGACTGACAAGTGTTTCAAAGGCTGCATCTGTCCAGTATTTTTCTTCATTTATATAGAGCACAAATCATGATTGTAAGGCCTTTAGAGGTTATTCGAGCTTTGCTGAAGACATAGGGCAGGGAAGGCCAAACAATTTCCACTGAGATCCTAAAGGGTATATTTCAAGCTTGCAATGCAAAATACGCTAGAAAACATTTTCAACTTAAAAAAATGATCACTCGACAATGGTTTGATAATCAATAATCAGGTCCCAATGTATTCTTGCAAGAAGGAGCAGAGCTAAATCACATACAGAAATATGTTTCAACTCACACACACGAGGTGTGCTGCTCAAAGGATAAGAAAATCACATCATGCTTATATAATCTTCCCACCATCCCATACATAGTCATAAATCGGTTTAGCGCCAGGTGGGAATAGACAACAGCCTGACCTGCGCATGCAAGTTTTCTCTTTATGGTCTGGATGCTCCAGAGGCTGAGAAAGTAATTGTGAATGCCTTCTTTTCTGTGGATAAAGAAATGAACCAAGTCTTGGCTCCGCCAGTCTTGACAGGAGGCAGCTGCGAGGTCATGACAGTGGCACAGAGTATTAAACCGTATTCTTTCCAACAGACTGCATTAGAAAATGTGGCTTATTAACACATTAATGTATAATATATTTGTACATATTTAAGAAGTACAATATACAGTAAGACAAGCAAGTTTCATGTGTGGGTCATATTCCATATTTTTTTAATTAGCTGCGGGCCAATTCAAAAGGGACCACGGGCCGCAGTTGGCCACCGGGCCGTAGGTTGGACACCCCTGACATAGGACTTAGTAACTCACACATTCCTTCACACAGCCTCCTTCTCTCTCTTTCTTTCATCATCCCATTCATTCTGGTTTCCTCTCCCACTTCCATATTTGTATGAATAAGCCTCTGGGTGATGCATGCTTCATTGTTGTTGCTCTTTGCTTTTCAGCACCTCTCTACTCTTACTCGCATTAGATAGCAAATGCACCCACACACACAAACATGTACACACAGACAGTCATGAGTGTGACCAATATAAAACTTCCTCCTAGATGGGAAATGAAAATGCATGAGTGTGCCTGTCATTGTTTGACCGACGACAGAGATAGAGAACATTAACACTGACTTCAAAGGCTCTCGTAGGCTCAATGTAAGGAAAACACAGACACAGGAAACTATGCTTTAGTTGTGTGTGTTTTTAGTAAGTGTGTGTATGGCAAACACTTAGAGAAGAAATATCAGATTATAAGTATCCTATACACACTGTATGGATCTGTATTATCTCACACACACACACACACACACACACACACACACACACACACACACACACACACACACACACACACACACACACACACACACACACACACACACGCTGAAAGGGGATCTGTGCTGGATCTGGTTTATGTGCAGATCTATTCCTACAGTGCAGTCACAGGACCTCATGCCATTTCCTGTGTTTTACATGCGACTGTATTTACTTGTTAAACGGAAATTGTTAAACAGCGAAAATTAAAGGAACACTTGAACGATAATGTAAGTACTCTAAGGACAACAAGTATTAAAAGCTTGGGAAAAATTTTAAGTAAATCTTCTCTCATTTTAACAATTGTAAGTTTAGAATCTATCAATGTATTAATTATATTTTTGCAGTAGTACTAGTTTATATATAGTTTGCATTTATTAATAAAGGCATTTCATATTAATAACATTTAGAAAAGGAATGATATATAACAAAGTCAGATGATTTTATAGTTTTAAACATTGATTTGTTGCTTGTTAGCTTCAGCCAATACATTTAGCAAAAGAAGAAAATAAAATTGTGCTAGCATTCACACTTATGCAGTTGGTGAGTGCTCCAAGATCAAAAGTAACAACTTCATTTTTTTGTTGCTGTCATCCGAATCTGACTGCAGCTTACTTCAGCTTACTTCATTTAAATCATTCCGATCCAAAGTGGTTTGACCCTTGCCATGATCACTCAACACAACACAAAGAGTCTAAAGTAATTTCATCATGTAGCAGGATATCCTAGCGCCATTATATAAACACTCAGAGGGTCCCCAGGTCTCTCCTTACCCCTCTGCTCTCCCTCTCCTCTCTCTCTGAACCCAGGATATGATTGGTTGTTGAAAACTCGATAGCAGCAGTATCTGCCATCTTGTAGGGTTGTGGGACAAACCCTAGGATAGCAGTTTTTACCTCAAACCTATACAAAAGATGAATGAAGTGAATACGTTTATCAGCGTGCACTTTTAACAACAGAGAACAGTAATGATCTTTGGTTATGAGCATCATTATGTCAATCATCAGAAAACTCTTTACTAAAGAAGTAACCCGTCTTCATTTTATGAACCATGTCCGGCCCCTTAACACCAGACTGAAGTCTATCCATCCTTCTCTCTACTCAAGCAGCACATTGTTTGACAGACAATGAGATGCAACATGTGCAGCAGTTACTGTACCGTAATGCTAAAGCTTGTAAAATACTCATGTTTTTTGGTCATTTAACAAACTTGTTTGATTTATTATTTAATTTATATGAATAGTTTCTGTATTTTAGATGTTTTGTTCTTGAGATTTTTATTTTCTTTAGTAATTGATATGAAATATTTCTATATATTGTTTGTTTTAACTCATTCACTTGTTGACAGATTTAAAAAATATATATATTACAAAATGTATATGAATAGTTTCTGTATATATATTTTTGTATCACTTGTTCTTACACACAACTTTATTTTGTCTCACCTTTTCACTTGTGGTTTTACTTAATATATTTGTTAGTAATTGATTTGAAAAAAGTTTGATATCGTTTTTTTAAAGTTGTATTAACTGTTTTCACTTTCCCTTTGTCAGATTTTATTCAAATAAAAAATAACGCTAAAAACGTAAACGCAAATGTTTAAATATATAAAAAATGTTTCACCTCACAACAAAAATACTTTTCCTACAAATAACCCTACATTCAAAGCCTTACATCTTTAACATTATTTATACATTTGGAGTTTCATGCTACTTTTTAACATAATATTCATTCATATGGAAACCATTCCGTCATCCAAATATTCCTGCTTCTTAACTTTCTTCTTACACATTATATTTCAGCATAAACCATTCCCACTAGCAATTTCTTCAGGAATTGCATTCTCTAGTTTAGGACTGATCTGCAAAGTAAGGTGACTATGACTGTCGAATAAAAAAGACGAGCATAACTACAATAGATTGTTCTGAAAAGTAGTGTTGTATCAGACGCACAATGCTCAGTTTTACACAGCCCACCTGGGTAGATTTGTATCACCCCATCTTTGAAATGACAATCAGTTACAGTGAATAAATCAAATATGGACAAAGCCTTTTGTTGCAGCCATGAACTTTAATTTAGATAATCTTAAACATCAAATGTGAAAGCATCTATTCCCAGTGTGCAGTTCATACATGGCTTCTGTCTAACATTCCCAATATAAGGAAATATTTACACATTGGCTTTGTTTTTTTTATCTGTGCTTACCGTATGTTCTACTGAAAAGCATCTTAAGAAATGTTGTTTATCAAAAATAGGACATGTGGATGTTTTGAGAATAACAGCCTTTGACCCTTCCAAGTGGAGAGCAGAGAGCTTTTCTAACAAAGTCTTTACAAGGAAAACAACCCGCTTCTCTCTCTTGTACAACTAACAATCTTATAATCATCAAACACATCCTTAAATAAACATCTAACTGAAAACCATATGCTTACTTCGCTTTATATCTTCTTACAACAAAGTGCCTTATCTCACAATTATTTTCAAATAAATTAAATACAAAGAAAAACACAGCATATACATATTAACAAAAGTTTCATCTCACTTATTACCATATTTTGTCAACTCTCCCGTTTCTGTGATTCCATTAAATAAATGTGTTGACATAACAGGTTATTTTTTGCTCACATATAAGGCGGTGAAACTTAAATTGTTTGACTTAATAACTGATTCTTTGGACAGTTTATAAAACAAAGTAATTCAATCCTCAGGACTTTTTTATGAAAGAGTAACAATTTGCTCTTTATCTTCCAATCAGCCAATCGTCTTCTCTCCATTTTCTGAGAGGCGGGCTGTAGCTCAGGCATGGCTGATGGGGAGATGTGTCAGCGAATGAGACATGAGAGGCTGAAGCAGAAGTGGGTCTGGATTTTGAACTAGGGAAGGTAAAAAGAATGACAATTATTTATTAATCAAGAGGCTATAAATTATATCTGAAACAAATAATGTAAATACAAATGACAGATGTTCTAAAATAAATCTCAGATTCAAACTTTTCTTCTTCCTGGGTTAGGGCCTAGCTTTGGTTTTACCTGGCAGCCATAGTATACACAGCTTTTCTATTGATGATTTATATTCTTAGCACTGAGCTAGCTGTGCACTAACTGTATTTATAATCTCCGTCAGTAATGGTGATGTGTGCACATGTTTCTTACCATCCATATAGGTCAGTGTAGTGAGGAGGGGTGCATCCTGGGAAATATAGGTTGTGTATTGCAGATCGTCCATCATAGGTGGCGTCAGCTGACCAGGAGCAAAGGATGCCATAAAGGTTGGGGAGGAGGAATGTGGGCCGATGTATTTCTTTTGACGAGCTCGACAGTTCTGAAACCAAACCTGAATGAGGAGACATGAGGTGAAAAGTGACTCCATCGATAACTTTGAGTCCCAACACTAAGATATCATTCTTTCTCTATTGTGAGAATTTATCACAATTGTTGGATTGAATTTCTCAATCAAGTTGTTGAAAGAAATATAAGCATTCACCAATATTTGCGTTCAGCAGAGCCCTATCTTTAGGGCAGTAACCGTTGCTTTACCTGAATGACCCTGCGCTTGAGACCAGTCCTTTCTGCCAGTATCTGGAGGGTCTGGGCATCTGGGTTGCTATCTTTAGCAAACTCAGTTTGCATTACCTACACATGTAGAGATGAGGAGGACATAAAAGGATAACAGAATAAAAATATACAAATACATGTGTTCCAATACAATAGAGGGCAAAACACATCTGGGTTTGGCTAACTGTTTTTCAGAGAATAGACATGGTTACTCATGTCATACTTATTATTATGAAACAATTTCTTATTTCTGAAACCTCTATAAGAAAAGGTATTGCAGAGCATTTGCTAATGAAAGCATGCAGGTGGTCTCACACTTTAGTGGAAGTTAATCAAATCGACCGGAGTAAGAAAGAAACATGGCCCAGTAATCCCGCAGCAGTAAGCAGACTGGTACCTGTAGCTGGTCCACAGTGAAGCTGGTCCTGGCCCTCTTAGCCGGCAGGGGGACGGAGCTGGCCTCGTCTTTCTCCGACAGCTCTTCCTCCACTTGGGGTTGCTCTTTAAAACAAGACACAAAGCATGTCAAACAGATCCTTTGACATTCTGAAATATAGGTCGGTTTCAAATGTGGATTCTGCTGCAGCACTTCCCTGGAATTGCTCTTGTGGGGACAGTCCACTATAGTGTATGTAAGTTGATTTGGGTAAAAGTGTCTGATCGGTAACAATGTAATGTATCTTGATTATTTCGTAATCAAAATCTATATTTCCAACTGCAAGTAAGAACAGTATAATACAGTGGGTTGATAAAGTCTGAATTATTTGGATTAATATTATGTAAACTTATTTGTATTTACTTTTGTTTGGCCTTAGGATGGCGATAATTGGATGACCATTTTAGTTTTCACTTCATACAGCACTGTAAATTGCATGAAATGATGAGCTGTTTTGTTTTAATTTTGTTGTATGTATGTTTATGTATGTTTTGAGTGTGTGAGGACCCCAGGAAGATTAGCCAATGCTCATGCTAATGGGGATCCTAATAAAGACAAAAGACAATATGAAACTATGGTGGGCTAGTTTCTGGAAACACTTGCTGCCCCTCCGTTTTACTAAAGCAGAAGTAGTTGTTTTTATTTTATACTGGAAATGTGTATTTCGACATGTATATGTTTTTACTTTTTTAATGCCATTGTATTTCTACTTCAGACATATTTTGGATTGTTTATTTCTAGTGTCTTCATTTCTCTTATGTACATTGCCTTGTTTTTGATGCTGCAACACAAACATTTCCCAAATTGGGATCAATAAATGACTTCTAGTACGGTGGCTGAGAGGTGCAATCGACAATTACAAAGTGTGAAACACTAACAAAGCTTGAGACAAATTTACATTTTCTAAAACAAAATTACATTAGCAAAACACTTTTACCAAAGAAAAAACTATTTAACATGAACAAAAAGAAACTAACAAGATGCGAAACACTTTTACAAAGCTAGAGACACATTTACAAGTGTCGAAACACTTTAACATTTCCTGAAACACTTTAACAAACTAGAGAATCAAACCGGAAAGGGAATGCCCATCATACCAGAAGTGACGTGCAAGTGATTGACACAAACTTAAGTTTGTTTTGGCGGATAGACCGCCGGTACCTATGGACCTTTAAGGTCGTTAAACATGTTTTGTCCGTTCTGTGGAAACCACCTGGGCCAAGTGACATGGTTTTGCTCATCACGATATACTTTCTCTTGCGCAAGAGATACGTTCTTGTGCACACAAGAAAGTTACAGGTTCGCCAAGTAGGAAGTGGAGCTGTGCCTTTTACACACAGCCTTCACTGTGGAGTTTAACCAAGTATTGCTCAAAAAGTACAGAGTAAAGATACTTGATTGTACTTGTTGTAGTAGTCCAAGTAGTGCTGAGTCCAACAGTATCAATTTCATGTAGAACTTATGGTGACAAATATTTTTATCCCTCAACAAATATAGCAGAATACATGAATGATTGTACTCAGGAGGGGAGTTTGACAGAGTATTACTCAAAAAGTACACAGTAAAAGTACTTCATTTTATTGTTGGTAGCAGTCAAACTAGTACTGAGTCCAACAGTGTCAGCTTTATTAAGAACCTATGGTAAAACATATTTTTCTCGCAAATATAGCACAAAAACATGCATTATTTTACTCTTGTACTAGCGTCACTGCCGCTTCTTGACGATTACCGTAAAGGCGCGATTAATCACGCACTCACAAATGAAGAGCTGCTGATTTTACCAAGCCAACGCGAGAGACGGCTGAGTTAACTGCAGTGTTCCACTGCAGTGTTCATTTTTTTTCGGTAAAGTATGCTTAATTATTAGCTGAAACATAACTTATAGAGGGGCATCGTCTCTATAACTGTCATGCACAAACTCTGCCAAAGCCTCTCTCTAGGTGAGTAGCAAAGACTACAACAAAACTAAATCTCCTTTTGCCATCACTCAGAAAGGCCCTGGTTAAACATACATTCTTGCTGTAATTCATCACATATAGACTCACCATTTTCCTTAGTACGTTGGATATTCTCCATCATGATGTCGTAGTGTGGCCGGCAGAAGACCCTGTTCTCCAGCACTCCACACTCCTCCCCAGTGGAGAGCTGGCGCTTACAGGAGATGCAGGAGAAGCAGGCCAGGTGGAAGGTGCTGCCCCGGGCCCGGCGCACCCAGTCAGTGGAGTGGATGTTCCGGCCACAGCGAGCACAGCGGGTCCCGTACCTCCTGAGACAGATGGGGGACAGGGAAAGAGGCGGAACAATTATTTAAACCTTGTGGCTTAATAGGATTTTTTTTTTATACAAGTAGGATGTGTCTTTTATTCTGTGATCATTGTTACTGTTATTGCATTTTGTTTTTCTTAAAATTTGGAAGTAAAATAAAAAAAAGTCTATAATAAACTGTACCTAAAAGACAGACATATGCATTTAAATCAATGTTTCTTTTAATTGTCTTTTTTTCATATCGCAGTGGCATTATGTTGACCATCTGACATTTAAAAGTGTTAATATTCTTTAAAAAAAAAAAATGAATATAGGAAAAAGTCCAAAAAGTTTTTGACATCGACATATTTTCCTCCGAGGAGTTTAGAACAACTTTATATAAATATAATCTTTTTTAAAAAGGTGATTCTCTGGCTTTGTCGCTCTGTTTCCCATGAACTTGACATTAAAACTTGTACCTTACATTTTTCCAATAATTACATTGGCCTTGTGCTTTTCCTCATCTGTGCTCTTATATAAACAAAGATTATTTCCTTTTCCATCTCTTTTTGCTGTCCATATTGCATTACATTAATCTTCCTTATTAACAAAAGGAAGTGACTGGAGGTACAGTTGTGTTACTGTAGTGATGACTTACCTGAAGTAATCAAGTTTGCAGAAAACCTGTTTATCTTTGATGAAGCAGCTCACGTGTCGCCCCAGTGACGTGTTGCACACACTGCACGAGAGGCAGCGCACATGCCAGCAAAAGTTGTTCACCTGAGATAGAGAAGAAAAGAGATTTTAACAACAATGCATCACTTTAACTGAAATAATAAATACATTTTACATTTTATTTGGGGGGCGCCTTTCATAGCACCCAAGGACACCTTATAGGGGCAATATAGGGAACAATTAAAACAGTGGATTTAGTGAAATATCAGCCGGGGTAAAACAAGACAAACAGGAAATGGACTACAGAAGGACACAAAAGGACACAGGGTACAGTCTGTAAAGAAAATGCCAGTTTGAACAGGTGGGTTTTGAGTTGGGTTTTGAATGTTGTAATGGAATCAGACTGTCGGATATGTAGTGGCAGGGAGTTCCAGAGTCTGGGAGCCGAGCAGCTGAAAGTTCGAGCACTCATGGTTTTGAGGCGGGAGCTTGGGACGGTGAGAAGTCCTACGGACGAAGAGTGGAGGGTGCGGGAGAGGGTGTACTCCTAAGGAGGTCGGTGATGTAGATGGGAGATAGGCTAGGTTATGGAGGAAATGCATTTTTTCTATGCTTGTACTCATAACCAATAATAATTTCAGAGCAAAAATCATTTTATTACATTTCTATAATGCATAACAAGGGAATGTAATTTAGAAATGGAAAGCAACATATGAGCCAAATGAAACAATGGTTTGTATTGGTTATATGTAAAGAGAACAATAATAACCAATAACAATTGAACTGCAAGTTGAGTATTCTGGGCATTTTAAAATGGAATTGATTGCAGACAGTAACTAAAATAAATAATAGCGTCTTAAATAGATTTTTTTTTGTAAACTGAAACTGAAGAAATAAGTGTCTACATACAAAAAAACACAAGTAGCTTAGACAAATGGCACTGAGATAGCCTCAAGTCATGAGAGGCTGGAAACAGCAAGTTTTTCTGTCCACTTAAGTGATGCAATGCCCAATTTGTAAGTGTTGTCAAGCATTGAATTGTCAGTCTGACCTTGAGGAGGTATCTGTCCACTATCTCCAGGCCGCAGGAGGTGCACAGGGTCTTCCCCTGCAGGGAGGTCGAGAAGGACGAAGAGAGGGAGGACGGAGAGTAGGAGTCCTCCTCAAAAAAATCCTCGGGCCCAGAGGAACCCTGCAGGAGCATCTTACAATGTAACAACGTGTAAAACTTTCATAACTAAACATTTATTCAAACTACACTGCTAGCATAGCCGTAAAGCAACATATAGCTACACTTTGAAGTGCGAATACAGTCACGCGAGCTCCAAATTTCCTCTTAACTTTTTTTTTTTTTTTAACGCGAGCTCCAAATTTCCTCTTAACTTTTCACAACAAGTTATTGGTTTGATATTGATAACACCTACTGTGTCGACATAAATATGTCCTTGTTGACGTAGCTGAGAGAAAACAGCCTCCGCTTCTCTCCTTTCTTCCTCCGACATGCTGTCAACGAGTCCAGAGTGATGCGAGAGACACAATGACACAGAAGGCTAACGTCCCCTTCATATTTCCTTCACAACCACGCTCATTAACCAATGCACTAAGAAAATAACAAGGGGACCCCAAAAGAACATTTTCGCTTACACTTTTTCGAGCATTCGTGTCCCTTCAATTTAGTTATGTGCTGTCATATATCGACACTAAATAGTGGAGGACAGTATTCGTCCACCATATTAACTTTACAATGTGAATGCTTACGTGTGTGCTACAATTAGCAAATCCTACCACCGGCCACGCTCACAGCTGAACGAGATCTGACTAATTATGATGAGCCGCGCACGTGCACATGATTAAGAGTAATTAGCCGGCTGCAGGTGTGTTCAACGTCTGGCTTTTATAAGTGACGGTGCGGTGTGTTCTCACAGTATTCACCTGTAGGCCTACACTTTTTATTTTTAAAGAAATTAAATTCACCTGTGATAGTGCTATTGTAACGAAGGATAACGAGTGTAATTAGGGTTAACCTATATTAAACTGTGGTCAAATATCAGCAAAGGTTGACTTCATATAAATATGGTTCATATGAAGAATTATACAAATAATAATTACTTTGTTTGTGAGTGAGGGCAACGTAGGCCTATCGGAATAATAACCGAAAAGCATAATTCAATATAAAATCACAACTTTATGCTGATACCCTTTACATCAAATTATTTTTGCAGTATGTAACTGATTTAGTTTGATGTTTAGGAGGTTTTAATATATGTAGCAGAACATTGAATATACCAATAAAGCCTGGAAAGACTAGCACTGCATACCCGATAAGACTTTTTGCCTTTAGACTTATGTCCTTAATGTAAACGTTAATGTAAATGTAGTTTTCAAAATAGGAAAGCTAGCTTTTTATAACCTGAAAATAATTTAGTTCACTCACTGTATCAAAATGCAGCGTGGAGAAATTATTAATTCACAAAATGAAAGAAATGGGCCTATAGCCTCCAAAATAAAAATTGTTCTGTCTTTTTTATATTGTATTTACTTTATTTAGCTTCTGGAAACAAACGAAAATGAACAGTGTTGTGAAGTCGTAGTTTTGTAAATGTAAAATATTGTTACTTACAACGCTGTTGGAGGCGCAGTTAGACATATCCACCGAGCGTCTGCCGCCCCCGGTGCATCACTGTTCAGACAGATGCGGGGAGCCTGACCCCGGTGTTAGTCCACTGTACCCCCGCTTGACACCCAAACTCCTTCAGCCTCGCTTCTTGCTCTTCTGACGACTTTTTTCACTCACCGTTTGTTTGTGAGACACATGCTTTTTTCATGTAATGTTAAGCAGCTCCGTGCACCTCCCACTGTGCTCGGACCCGCCTGCTGCACCATCAATGAACAGTTAATTTAATGTTAATGTTAACCCCTAAGGACCCACCGTGACACAGGTGTCACATGACATTTACATGTTCTGGAAAGTTACAGCTTTAGCCTTGTTTTTATCCCATGAAGTCCCTAAGTGACACACACTGAACAGTCTGGTGGGTCCTGGGCCAGATCATGTAATTTTGTGTTCCCATAACAACAACATGTCCAATATGTCCATGCGCCAGGCTAACACATGTGACAGAACTAGCTACATTTCAGAAGCTTGTTTTTTGTTGCTAAAGGTCAAATTCAAGCCATTTAAGAAATAACATGCTTACATCACGTCCTTTATTACATTTAACCTGTTGTGGTTATCCATTCTATTTAGTTAATATATTCTTTATTCTCCAATTCAAAGAATGTTCAAACAAATTTAAACCAAAAAATCATCCTCATTAATTTAGTTATAAATAATACTTACTTTACCATTAAAGCCCATGTGACATATATGTCACTTTTCAGATATTTGACAGAAATGTGTTCTATGTGGTCTATTGAGTCTAAATTATGTCCTCCTTAATTTCCCCAAAAGTATAAATGGGTCCGGGTTCTTATGTTAAGATGACGCTTTCTACATATTTTCCTATTATTCTTTCCTACTTTTAATGTTCTTGCAGACTGGAAATAAATGGAGGTAGCTGACTTTGCGAAATGCAGTAGAAAAAAGGCCAAATATTTTCTTTGTGATCAAGGGACTTCAATTCAGGCTAATGCATTAGACATCATAAAGAAAAGACTGCAGGATTTCTGTGTATAATAATAATTCTCACCAGGCTACTGAGACTGCACGACTTTAAGAAAACCAAATCTTTTCCTTCGAGAGGCATTTAGATTCACTTATCCCGGTCTGACATTATCAGTATTTCTCATCTTTTCCTTTTTGGCCATTGGGGATATTATGAACACAGCACAGGTCGAGTTTGGGGACTGAATTGTGTTTATTCAGACATCCACACTGTCTGCAGCACTCTCATGGCAGCTCAGCGACATGGCATAACTCTCCTCCAATTCCACTAACCTGGTCAGAGTAAGTCAGGAAAAAACTGTTTCATAATTTAAATGAGTCGACCACAGGGTGATATTCTACTTTTTGACATATAACACTGTAGTAGAACTCAATCTGTACCTCAATAACTATGAAATAAATAAATAAATAAATTCTAATAGCCTGTAATATTTTGCATAATTTCCATAACCAAGATTTATAAATGCTCCTTTTAGATTATTAGATTGAAAAACATTGCAATAGAGCAGGTCAGAAACCCCAAAAGGGCTTTTGGATTTATTTTTTAAATGATAGTTTTTCTTAACATAATGAGACATATACATTTAAAAAAGGGCAAAACGGTTACGTTGTTATAGTAATAATAATGACATTCATTCATTTTTTACATTGATTTATATTGCAAATATTTATTTCCGCATATTATAATATGCAGGACTTCATTCTACTGTACAGTATTTATTGTGTTTTACCTTATTAGACTTTAGATGTTAAAATTATTCCTGCTTATTACTGTATTTTATTCAACCCCATATTTGCATTACTGTATGTCTTTTTCTTTAATGTCTTAAATATATTGTCTCACTTGTTAAAAGGAGCTTTGGATTTAAGATTTGTATTGCCAACAACACACTGTAGCTATTGTTCATATGAAAATAAAGCCTTTGAATCTTTTAAGAATTTGCTATTTCAATCTCAGCTTTTATAAAGGTTGGGGGGCTCTTTAAGGGCCAAGTGGTCTCCCCCTCTTGAGTCTACAGCGTGCCTTCTCCTTCACGAGTACCTCTTCAGACTTTAAGTGAAGGTGATGGCTAACCAAAGACTGGGGTCAAAAAGGCATGAATGAAAACATTTTCAGAGGGCACTTTGTGAATGGAGAGGCAAGAGAATGGGTCAAGAATCCCTCTGGGTCTTGTCTGCGCTGTGCATACGTCTGCAACCCAATACATCAGCCTCTCAGCCTTCCAAACTTGAAATAGGAAAGACTAACCTCTAACAGAAAAAAGAAAAGCAGACTTTTAAAAATCATGTGAAAACTGAAAGAATCAGCATCACAATAATTTTTAAATGTATAGATCAAGCCCACAAAAAAATCAAGCCCACAACAAATACATGTTCTAATATACCTCACAATTGATCTGATTCTCCTTTTGGATTAATGTTGTTGTTGTTATAAAGTTATTTATATTTTAAAATGAAACATGTATAATCAACGTCTGGAATGTAACATCTTTGAAACTCTCTAAGAGCTTACAAATGAAAGAAAATTAAACAAGAAACCTTACTTTCTGTCATCAATTACTCTTAATAAAACCAGGGAAAACTCAGTTAAGATAACTCAGGTTAACAATCAGTAAAAAACCTTTGTTTTTGTTTCAGTTTGACAAAAAAGTTTTGAGTGTAGCTTTTAGTAAACTTTTGAAAAAGGTGCATGGATGTTTGCTGTAAGGTTTTTATAAAGCTATGCATATTGACGATATACCCATTTTATTTAATGCATCACAAGGAAACAATCAGTTTGAATTTAGACAGGAAATAAATCCTTCCTCATTGTGGCAAACCCTTCCACTCCACTGCTACTAATCCAGCCCTCCTCACAGAAGGATTTAGGACAACACTTCTGCAGACAGCATCTGCTGATTTATTAAAAGAGAGGAGCGGGGGTTGTTGGGGGTGGGGGTCATTTGCCCTCACGTCTTCATGTAAAGATTGTTTGGCCTTTGACCAGTCATTTCTCCCTCAGATGTAACCTTCTGTGGTTTATAAACCTGTCAGTGTTGCTTGATAGGTACACTCCTGCTAAATTCATGAATCTGCCTGCCAATTTTGCCGGTTAAAATGACAACTACAATGCCTTAGCGGGCGCAATTACAAAAGATTAAGTATGTTGCGTGGCTGCTTTTAAAACATTGATGAGTTAAGAAGGTCTGAGAGCTCTGGACAACATACACACACTGCAGACACCTGCTCCTTAAAGAAAGTGGATGAGTAATTTAGCCGTCAAACCCCTTAGTGCAACCAAAAGTCAATCAGCCACAAGGAGGATTTCAAGTATCAGTTAAAACAGAAAACATTACATTCGCAGGGATTTATGGACATTTCAGTTTTGAGAAATTACACCAAATATTATTTGACTATTGTTGCATTCAATCTTTAAAGGGGCCCTATTATGCTGATTTCAGCTTTCATGATTGTCTTTTGTGCCTTGACATATTTACATGTTTACATGCTTTAATGTTCAAAAGGCTTTTAGCTTATCACGTACGATGTGTCAGAGCGCTAGCACGAATAGTACGTAGTGATGTCACAATGTTACATAAGTAAACAAAGGAGTCCAATCGGAGTGTGTGGGAGAGAAAACTCCTTCTGGAGGAAACTTTGCAGACCATTTACATGCACAAAAAACAACACACTACAGGAAAGTAAAAAGGCTAAAAAGCATGATAGGGCAATGCCCCTCTAAATCAGATCGCATGTTATCACAGTTTATCATCATGGAGACAGGGTTCCTGAGCTTGGCTGTGTTTGTCAGTGGGCTTGGTTTCCCTTCTCAGCCAATAACATCCCAGCACTGTATAAAACACACAATTGTTTTTCACTTTAAAGTAGAAGTTGCTTCTGGTTTAGCCATGACATACCATGCTTATCTCGCTGTTTGGAGGTGTCACAGTAGGGTGTGTCACACAAAACATAAATGTTTGTGTGTTTTTGAGCAAGTGCATTTGAGGTTACTTAGCTTGATGTCAGGAAGAGTCTAAGGTGAAGCAATTGGATGTGACTTTGAGTA